AATTAAAATTATATATAGATATATATCTATATAGATATATACATAGATATATATATCTATCCATCTATGTATCTAGCTATACATAGCTATATATATTCATATTTTATGACATGTATATGGTATGCTGTATTATGCTCATGTCACATTTTTAAGTTTTCGTTGTAGGTAACAGCTATTTTCTCGAACAAAAAAACTAAATTAAAAACTACCAATTTTGACCCAGCAATAATTGGAAAGGTATATGGATGTTCTAAGTGAACTCCGTTTCCTGTACCCCAGAAGAATACCTCCATTTACCATCATGCCTTTTGACTGTATATGTAAATCATACCATGGCAAAGTGAAAATGCAGCTAACAAAAACCACACAAGGAAAAAAGTTGGTTTTTACAACTAGTACAGAACAAGTTGCAACACCAATTAGAAACAAATACTTATAACTATACATTTGCATCATTAAAAGCACCCCAGAGGACTATTATTTATAAGAAGATTCATTGTGAACACTTTATTGATTGCATGTATTATTTAAGCACATATTTATTATAGAGATTTGTTTATGTATTGTTCTAGATGAAGCCCAGATTTTATACTAACCTGTCCATGATCCAGAAAGAGCCACATTGTGGACCATGGGTAACCTCACAACTGCTGCTGTAAACTTTGACTGTACCTTGCATTCCACACGTTTTAAGAAAACCCACAGTCTGATCGGCCGTACTGGAACACGCAGTACCGCAATGCTGTGCAATTGCAAAAAATTGTGTATGCAGTTTTATTCTAAAGTAAACTTTATGTTTGTAACACTGCATTTGTGTATTTTATTTAAAATAAAGGATGGGGTGCTATTGAAATGAATGGCACTGCAACCTCCCGCACCAGAATTTGTCAGCCCGAAACCAGAAATTAAAGTTTTTGCTCACCTTTTAGAATGTAAAAAAAAATAAATAGAATTGCATTGTAAGCACATGGCACTTGAATAGCTTCAGCAAGGGAATGACAGCTGCCAGTGGCAAGATTCTGCAGATGGCAGCTGAATGTAAATACAGCCATTAATGGACTGGTGCAATAGCCAGCCTGCTATTGGCCATTTCAAATTGCAATAGCACGCTGGCTATTGCAGCCACCCACTGCTTGCTGTCCTCTCCTCCCAGCATCAAGGTGAAAGCTAGGTGATCCAACCAGCTAAATCGATAATGAGAATAGTTGACAACTATGCTCATAAAATCGATTAGATGGCACAGCCATAAAGAAGAAAAAGAAAAAAACACACACACAAGAGCCGTTATAATCAACAAATGGCACTAGAGAGACAACTGATTGTGAAGTAAAATATCATCATGCAAGATAGACATTTTAGGCCAAAATTGAGACAACAGCTAAAATTGAAAGACATAAATGGGAGTTGTTCTACCTAGGAAAACATTTCTATTTCTTCCCATCCAGTCCTAAGAATCACAGCTCTGCAGAACGGTCAACTCAATGCAGTTAAATAAGTTAGGTAGCCTCCCTGCCTTCAGCAGTTTTTTTTTGCACAGGATACTACAAGAGGCTGATACAAAAAGTTAAAATCAGTACTTACACTAGCTGCACTGAAAAATACATATATTTAGTTTAAGGAATAAATAACTGCGATGCACTGGGGATTTTTTTGCATCTGCCTGGAGTTCAGCTTTAAAACTGCACTGTGTCTGACAGTGACTTCCAAGAGTCAACAAAGGACATTTGGCACAAGCAGAAAATTGAGATAAAATATGTACATTCCAAGCAGCAGGAGGTCAATATCATTTTAAATTAAAGACTCCCTCACTATCACCCACATGAATCATCAGCAGAACCCATTGAGGATTAAGTCACCTTATGAATCTGCCACACAATAAACAGCAACTGTAAAGCAGTGGTCAGGTAGTGCAATCAGGCCACATAAAAACAAACTAGTCACTCCACTCTACATTTGAAAACAGTTTATTTACTGCGGCCATGTGTTCTACACTCACCTGGTCCTTCTCATGTGGAAGGAGACTGACGAGAGGAAGCATGGAAGAGGAAGAATATTTGGATACTCCTTTCACTTCCGATCCACCATAGTTAATCCTATATTGTGGGCCATCTTTCAGTATCCTCCCGCTGTTAACAGCCCTCTTGGTCGCTAGACGCAGCCTCCTCTGGAAAATGGGATTCGCCACAATTCCAACCAAATCATTCTGGCTACGCAAATATTTCTCAATATTCTTAAGTGTTGAGCCATTGGATTCCTGAAGGCCTTCTAGTGCCCTACGAAGAAGTTTATTCCAGTCCACAGTGCGCAGATCTGTACTTACAGCTCGCTGGCCTTTGGCTGCTTTAGGTAGAGGACCAGGCTTGATATTTGTAAGGCGCCCAGGGTTTTCTGGATCCTTGTATGAAACCACCCCTTTGTTGTTAACCTTGAGAACCGAGCCATCCTGTACACTGAGTTCAAGCTGTTCAAGTACAAGCCTTTTATCAAGACCATGAGATACGCACACTGCGTGACAAATACGTTCGTCCGAAGGACGCTGCTTTTGTCTTTTTACTTTTTGTATGGCTTCCAAAATCCACTCCGTGTACAGAGGGTTTGCAAGTTTTACCATGGTTGAAAAATTGTATCCGAAAGCCAGATGCAACCCATAGAGATCATCCGTGCGCCACATTAAACATCTAAGTAACAATTAGCCGTCGACTAGGTTGTGTTCGGTAACAGGTCACACACATCCATCTTCAGAGGACAAATCCGGCAAGAGCAGTCACATCAAAAGACACAGCTGGAATACAGTAAATCCACGTCATAAAACATAATCTAAAGGAAAAGAGGAAACAGACTTCACTGAAATGATCAAAGGGTGAGGCATGTTAATGAATGACAGAGAGACACTTCTAAAGAAGAGAAAACACTTTGCTCGACTCATGAAGCTGTTGTTACTCTATTACAATACTGTGACATGGCCACAAGGACAATGGTATGAATACACCGTGAGAACAGGTTTGGGAAGCACCTGATATCAAGTATGCAAGCAACATGACCACAAAATGGCAGTGCCATTTTATTATAGTATGTATCATAAATGGAACATGCAAGATAACTTTCTGTAACTGCATTAAAGTGCATGTAAACCCAAACAATAAAACAATATATAAAAGTCACAAATTCTAACATAGTATTGTAATTCCAAAAATCATTTTCAATAAAATCAAATCTGCAGCATTCATCAAAATAATACTGGCCTGAAGGTCTATGTTCAGGATCACATTGTTCTCCTGCGCTGTCACATGCACTTTCAATAAGGTGTACAAGCATGGTCCACTGCTGTCACCAAGGGGAAATCCTCCCTGAGAAAGGATGTGCTGGAGTGAATGCATGTAGACAGGAAGTGACTACAAAAAGGGTGCAGGAGGTAAGCAGCGCTGACATCCATCGATGGATGAAAAAAATGTTGGACAAAAAATGTTGGGACAATTGCAAACTAAGGGGGTTATTCACTAATGAGCCGAAGGATCCAGTCATTGCTTTGACTGATCCTTTGGCTCACTTGGGCCGCCTCTGCCCTTCAGTTCAGTCGAACCGAAGGGCTGCTGCAGGGGCTATTCACTATAGTCCGTACAGCAGCCGAGCCGTACCCGTATGATTCGGCTCGGCTGATCCATCGTCACAGCCGAAGCGTGGAGAAAGGTCGGCCAGAGGGCCGACCGTTCTTCACGCAAATGACAGCTGGGCGGAGCCAGCCTTCATCTCACGGCTGGCTCCGCCCAGTTGTAATGACAGATCAGGGTCCCCAAATGACCTGGGGATGCTGGTCTGTCATTAAACAACAACAACGTCACGGCTCTGGCAGGTGCCGGGCCAATAGGAAACAGTTGGGCGGGGCTAGCGGTCATGTCACCACTAGCTGCACCCAATTGTTTATATTTCGCCGGCATCTGTCAGATTCAACATTATGCGGCGGTAGTTCGTCGCGTACGGTCAGGGCGGTGTGCTTCGGTTTTTAAAAAAAAATGATTTTTAATTTACTTATATTTTTTTATTTCGGCGAGTCGTCGTGGACAATGCTGGACGCTGTGATTGACGCTGGATTACATTGGCGGATCAATTTTTTTTTTTTTTTAAATAAGACTTGTCAAAAACTTGTCTTTTGTTTTTTTTCAATTAAAGACATTTTTCTAAAGTTTGGCGTCTTTTTTTAATACCTGTACTGTTAATTTAACCGTTGTGTGAATGTGTAGGGGTACTACTACCCCTTACTCATTCACAAGGATGGGG